TACACAGACCAGCTCCTGGACCCTGGCTTGCACCCTCGGATGCCTTAAAGGCCAGACATAGATGCACATTAGGGAAAACAGCCAAATGGCATCATTTTCAAGCCCTGGAGCCCAACATCTACATCACCACTTCCTACAGGCATCAATTACAAGCCCACTTAAAAGACTATTTCTGCATTGTAATCTGCATACTCCTGAGAGCAGAGATCATGCCTGTCTACGTCACCCCTGTGCCCATGGGGCACAGCAGAATATTCAGCACTGGGGAAGTACTCAGTAAATACTTGCTGAATGAATAACAATGATTATGTGCAGTTTCATGACTCATGCCTGTGCACAGACTGGCCCACCTTCCTGTGTTTCCCCAAAGAAATAAGGCTCTCTTAATAACACAGGCAAAACCCCAGAGACGGTGCTGCTGACAGGCTAAGGGACCAGACAAGTGCGTCTACACTTGCTGCTTTGTAGTCAAGAGATCTGAGTTATGATTCCAACTCCATCATGTCCCGGAACCTTGGACCAGACAGTGAGCTTCTGTGAGTCAGTTTGTTTCCTCATGATAAAGGGAAAGAGATCAGCCCTGCTCCTCTGGGCTGTGTACTATGATCACTGGCAAGGACAAAACATTGTAGTTCCAGACCTTAGCCCTTAAACTCCCTGTGTGGAGACCACAGGTTAGTGTCGGGATACGTCTGTTTGCAGGGCTGGAAACTGAACATAGGGCCTCCAGCATTCTAGGCAAGCATTCTGGGTCTACTTTCCTCAAGTTTATGTTACACTGAGCATGAAGCTAGTGTAGCCACACTAAAAAGAAAAGACACTACTTTAGGATCATATCAAAAGCAGTGAGGGTGAGCACCCTTACCTGATCCAGTGTATTTCGTTGCCATAGCCTGCTATCAAGAGGGTCTAGTCACTCAAGAATCTACACATAGCTGATAGAAGACTCAGAGAGGACATCTGGGGATGGATAAACCCAGACAAAGACTGATCTTTTTCTCTTTCTGAGTAAAGCATGATCCTGGAGGCAGTAACTATGTGCTACTTACTGGCATTTTGCAGTGTGGCCGGACAGGTACTGGGAACACAGCCTGTAGGAAATAGAAGGAGAGAGGTGAGGCCATCAGGATAACTGACTCCAGTGTAAACCAGTCTGGTGCCCACTGCAAGGTCCCCCTCATAGGTCTCCCCCAGCCCCATTCCAACTTACTCCTTTGATGTTAATTGCAGCTCCGGGGGGTCCTGGGGGGCCTGGAGGACCAGGTAAGCCAGGTGGGCCCTGAAGGCAGAAAAGAGAGACCATGTCTGAATTTGGGTTCTGGGAATGCAGAGGGGGCCACAGGACATTTCCCCAGATTGTGGTTAGGCACACCACAAGGAAGGGAGGGTCTTTGGTATGAAAGCAACCAACTTCTCCCTCAGGTAGGCCAGTCCGTCCACAGAGAACTTCCACATCCGTGACCTCACTGTCTTCATAACAAACCATGGAGAAGACAGCAGAGTAACAAGTACTGTCCCTGGTTGGCACATGCAGATGAGGGGAACCAACCTGCTCAAAGCCACAGAGCAATTTACAGTAAACATTCTGGAACTCATATTCTGCTTCCCAGCGCAGTGCTCGGTTGGTGCTCTTGGCACATTCCTAACTTGGGGGTGCCTGGCGAGAGCCTTAGAAGTGCAAAACTTAGTGCAAAACTCACATTGAGTGGCACAGTCATTTCCTTCCTTCCATCCTTCCTTCCTTCCTTCCTTCCTTCCTTCCTTCCTTCCTTCCTTCCTTCCTTCCTTCCTTCCTTCCTTCCTTTTTTGTACCGGAGAACTTGGGACCTGCACTTTGAGGCAGGTAGCAGAACAATTCAGCTAAATCCCCAGCCAGCACAGTCATTTTCAAAGCCAGTTGTCCTGGCCTCAATACCATGCAATGTCTCCTCCTTGCTGAGAGGAGGAACTTAGGATCTGAGAGCTGGCATTCTGATGGGCACACAGGAGAGAGAGCTACACTGATCACTTTAATGAAGGCACCAGTTTACCCAGTGGTACCTGTGGGCTAAGTAAAAGTGAGTCAATCCCAAAGACTTTAGGAAATTTTTATTCTGTATGTCTAGACATACAAAGCAGAGACTACGGCACAAAGAAAAGCAGCAATAAACAGGGCTGTTTTCCTATTGGTTTGGTGCTTATGGGCTGAGCATCTTTGGTGGGGGGCTTCACTTCTATAGACCTCAGTTTCCCCTGTGTGAAATAATGACCCTACAGAAACATCTCATAGGTTAGTTAGTTATCATCAAGACTATGTGAGCCACTGTACTTAAAAAAGCACTTTGCATGGTATCTGGTACACAGCAGCTGCTCCATAAATACTTTTCCTCAAACATGGCCTCAGTGTTTCCCATCTCGTGAAGCCCTCCCTACTTGGCTGATGCTCCACTGATATTTGCTCACAAGTACCGGCAGAGCCCCTATGACGCAAGCAATCCCTGGGAGTGGCTATAGGAGGGACAAAGGGACACTACCCTAGAGTCAGAAGCCCTGGGATTTGGAGCATTTTTTGAGCATGCTCAGGTACTTGCTTCTTTTCCTTCCTCTGGGATCTGCATAAGGTGGCTGATGCTCCCACCAAGGTGCTCTAGGTGGCGGGGACCCTTCTGAGAGCCAGGTAGGGGACAGAGCTGGGTTCAAGGACCTCTGGAAGTGGTGGCAGAAGAAGAAAACTTCATGGATACCACAAGATCTCCCCTCTCTCACCCTGCTCTGGACACCAAGGATGGGGTACTATCTCCTGGATGACACGGGGTGGTAGCAGTCAGTGGTTGTGGTACTCACCAGTGTCAGTATTCCTCTATCTCCTTTGGCGCCCTTGATGCCATTCAGTCCCGGGCGACCCTGAGACCCACAGGAGACACTTTAGTAAATTCCCTGCCCGGGGACCAGCCAGGCCACATGCTCTACCCTTTACATCCAGTCTGAGGAACGCTGATACCTACAGGTCTTCCAGGGAGGCCAAATTCCCCTTTGTGTCCCGGTGGTCCTTTGGGTCCCTAGGGGCCAAACAAACATCAGACTAGAAAACAAGAGCAACTCAAAGTCCAGAGAGCTGGGGGTGCCACACCCGCTTTAGTGAACAGTGGTAACTATGAACCATGGAGAGGAGCAAGGAGGGCAAGGAGCAATTACAGAACAGCCACCTTTTCAGCTTCTGATCTCCTACCTCTCCTCTGCTAGAAGCACTTGCTTAGCCCCATCTGATGCCCCCATTTCCTGCAGGCTGTACCCCATCTAAGGCCCCAAATCTTTACCACCAAGGCTGACTAAGGAGCAAGAGGCCAGCACCTTAGGGCCTCAGTGCTCAGGTATCTGGGTGCAGGGCTGGCTCAGAAGATGGACCTTTACTCTAGGTCATATAGCCTAGAATTCTGCTTTTTCCCAAGCTGAATAATGCCGCCCTGCCTTCCTTATTTGCCAGCCTGTCCAGGATTTGGTACCTGACCTGGGCTAAGATTTGGCTCCTACTGTCTTGAGGACCAGTCTTGGCCTGTTCTCCAACCAAGTCCTTCAGCGCTGGCTCTCTAGACTCCCATGTTTGTCTAGCCACTGCCCTGTTCCAAGCTCTTGCAAAAACTGTCATGCCTTTGTCACACAAATTAGCCAGCATCTGGGATACAAAGCCACCAATGCTGTACAAATATGCTCTTCCTTTAATCTTCTTCTAACCTTCCAAGTCCTACTTCTGGGTCTGCCCTATCTCTCAGAAAAATGGCAGATTTAAGCTAGCAGCCCTCTAAGTCTTTTCTTTCTGTCACCATTAACACAGATAGCTATGCCCTGAACAACTGCAAAGACTGCATAGAAACGGGGTCTGCAGTGAAGTTCCCAGTTTATATCACTCTTAAGGAAGGAGTTAGCAGGGCATAGCCCACTTGTTTGGCAGGTTGTAGTGCAATATTTCCCAGTGTCCATGTGCATGAGAATCACTGAGATCCTGCTAAAATGCAGATCCAGTGTGTCAGGGCTGGGCCTGAGGTTCTGCATTTCTAACAAGCTCCTATATCCAACAGCTGGTGATGCTGGTGCCTGAGCCATGCTTTGAGTAACAAGACCCTAGTGCATTTGCAAAGCAATTGCAAGCTAAACTAGTCACCAGGGCCACAGTTAGCGCATATGGCATCTTTATGCAAATTAAAAGGTGCCCTTACTGACTGTGTTTGGCAAGCTGTGCACAAGCTGGCCTTCAGTGGGACAACAGCCATGGCCATCTGCAGCCGCCTGCTGGCCCCATTGCTAACTATTTGTATTTCCTTTGGTACTGGAGGTTACTGAGTAGTTAACCAGTTGTGAACAGACTCTTCCAGTCTGCATTAGCTCTCAGCTACCCTACTCTGGGTGTCCATTCTGCCTGATTCCAGGACTATAGGCCTTAGAAGGTCTTTTATAGGATACATCTTGCAGATTACAGACCATTCAAGGACAACATCTGTTACACAAATCTGTGATCCTTTTTCCCTGGGCCTGAGATCCAGCTTCAACCAAACAAACCCCATGTACAATTCTACAGCTTATAATGTTTCAAAAGAATCAAGGGCAGCTTGAACCTTGAAAGCAGTGGTGTGCAGTGGAAAGAATCTGGACATAGATTCTGACAGGCTAGCCCAAGATCCTTCATCTGCTATTTACAAGCCACATGACACTGGGAGGTCACTTAACCTCTCTGAGATTTGGTTTCCTTATCTATAAAACAGGGGTTCTAGCTGGGTGCAGTAGCACACGCCTGTAATCCCAGAACACTGGGAAGCTGAGGCATCAGGACTGCAAATTCAAGCCCAGCCTAGAAATTTAGCAATTTATATTTGTCTCACAAATGTAAAAAATAAAAAGGGGCTGGGATGTAGCTCAGTACAAAGGGTCCTGGGTTCATTCCCCATCACCTGTCCCTCCCCGTTATAAAATGGAGCTCTGATAGTCACAGTTTAGAGTGGCAAGGGTGAAACGAGGTGACACACACAGGGAGGATCAGCAGTGTCTGACGAACACTGGATGCTCTCCACCTGAACTGTCTTCATTTTGGGAGAAGAATATATGACAGAACAGTTTAGGACTCTTGCCGGAAAGAAAGAGTCATGAAAACTGTTCAGACACCCACATGTGCTACAGATCCTTAGAATAGTAAGGCTGGGGGGTGAGCTACCATACCATCTAGTCTTAATCCCATTTCTTCTAAGTACAGATGGGCAAAGAGGAGCCCAGAGAAAGAAGAGGGCATGCTCCAGGTTTTGTAGCAAGTAAGTAGCAAATCCAGAATCCAAAAGGCCCAGAGAGATTGTGTGGGGTTTCTTTGAGGGGTTCCCTGGAAATGGGAAATCTTTAGTGGGCAAGCACTGCAGTATAACTTTGAGGGCTCAGCACCACCTGATCCCCTTTCCTGGACACATAGCGATGCTACCTGTTGAAGCCCTGGAATCAGTTCTGGCCAATGAAATATGCTAGAAGTGATGTCTTCCATGGTCTCTTCCCATGCCCAACCTTTAGCCTGCCAGCTGCTGGTATGGCCTTGAGTCCACAAGATGGCAGAGTCATAGCATGGATGTATCCTGAGTCCTGATTCACTTTAGGGGGGGCAATAGGGAGCCACCACAGTAGATTTTGTAATCGAGAGACAAAGCTGTTACTGTATTCAACCACTGAAATGTTTATGTAACTGCAGTTTGCCCACCCTAATACACACAGATTTTGTCACATTCTTTTTATTTTCAGTGCTGAGACAACTAGCTTTAACTGAGCCAGAGTATGACACATGCTTCAAAGCCCACTCCAGCAGCTAAGCGACACTCTGGCTTACCATTGGTCCTGGGGCTCCATGCAGTCCAGGCTCACCCTAAAACGGGGAGATAGAGAAGTGTCACTCAGAGGAACACTGTTGTAGTAACAAAGATAGGAAGCCAAAGCAGATGTGTGTCTTCAGGGCCTGGTGGCATAATTACCTTTTTCCCCTTCAGCCTTTCCAGAGGAACATCCCCTGTCAGGATGGTGCCTGGCTCACCCTTCTCACCCTGTAATACAGAACACCTTTTGATGAAGTCTGGCCTCCTCCTGCCATCTTGTCCAGAGTGTCTCTAAGAACTGTCAGTCCTTGCTCCATGACTCCTCCCTTTCATCCTGCCTTTCGGGTTCCTCCAGCCCCACTACTCCAACATGATCTCTCATTAAAGTCTCGCACCAGTGTTTGCTTCAGTGGCACATACACTGAAGTGTTGTACCAGCCCCCGCTGAGGCTGGGTGTTCCCAGAGCCCTTCCCTCTGTGTACCGGCATTCCCTATCCTAGAGCACAGCCGTGGTCCGCATGCCCCTCCAGGGCTCCCACTGAAGACAGATCTGTACCCTCACTCTCAGTGCTCTAGGACCCCGCCCCACCATGGTCCTGTCTACCTCTAGCCATGTGACACCCCTCCAGGCACCTCTCCTCCTACTCTGCTTGATGGCTTGCTTTCCTAACTACTTGACTTGAGATCTGTCCCCACCAAAAATCCCAATTCTTGTTTAAACACCTGAAATTGAGAAAGAGATGAAAGCATAGACACCAGAGGCCTCTTCCAACACAGAGGCCTCGTGTGTCCCCGTGGGCAAAATTGCCTCTGAACTCCAGGCTCCTGCGTAAACACCTATACGTACTTGCTCAGATAAAGCTATCCCAGACATTGGGAAAGAGGAGATGGAAGTCTGGAACAAGGATACAGGACACTGACCCGAATCCTGCCTTTAGCAGAGCCATCAACTATACCTGGAGGCCCCTGAGAACAAGGTCAGGTAGAGGAACCTTCTATAACTCTCAGAGACCTTCTTGCTGGCCCCTGGGGAGCTGAGCTGGGCCATGGAAGCCTCCTTTCAACAGGGCTGGAAGCAGCCAGGCAGTGGTACCACAGTGAGCAGAGCAGCCTCTTCTCTCCACCCACAAAGCCCACACCTGATATTTGGGTCTTACCACTCCGCTGGTGAGGAAAGGCAGTCCTGAGCACGCCAGCAGCAAGAAGAAGCAAGCACAAAAGTGTTAGAGGCAGAGTAAGAGGAAGCACATTTGCTGCTGTGGCTGGAGCAAAGCTGCCTGGGCACTTGTCTTGGTCATTCGACGTGGCAGAGGGGCGGGGGCAAGAGTTGCACATCAGGCCCTCTAGATCCACCTGACCTTGCCACATAGGACACAGAGCATTGAAAAGGCAAGAACCTCTCTTGCTCAATCCAGTCTCCTCATAAGCCTAGGCGCTACCTTGGCCCCTTCTCCCTTCCATAAGCCCACAGCAACAAAAGCAACCCCAAGACATCCTTGCCTGGCCCCAATTTTTTGCACAGAACACACCCCTCTGCCACTCAGAACTGTGGTTCAACAGTCACTGTTGTGGTTTAACAGGTCCTCTGTCCTCTTTGAGGGCTGGTGTGGGATGGTGGGAAAGGGAAGGACAGAATCCCAGCTCCTCCCTCTTAGAAAGCAGGCCCTTCAAACTCCCCATAACAGGCTCGGGAGCACAAGCTCCTGCACCCTTTGCTCAGTGAAGACTTCCGGCACAGCAGGCTGTGCACTGTCCATTGTCTCTTTGGACAGTGGATGAAAAAAGAGGGATGGGATGAGTACATAAATGAATGGGTAAAGAGAAGGTCCCAATCCAGAGTCCCTGAGATCTGTTTGTGGATGTCACTCTACACTCCCATCTATAAAAACCAACTGAGAAATTAATTCTAGGAGCCAGTGTGGAAGGTACAAAGGCCAGTTCTGTACCCTGGGAGTTCTCAGGAACTGTGAACACTTAGCTTGGCATGCTAAGTATTTATTCCAAACTTTTTTGGACCATGACCGTCATTCAACTGCAGAGTGTCCCATCTTATAATGTCTAAATATCAGCCATTATTTTATTCTTTAATTATGGACTCTTTCATCCAACAGTCATTTCCGATGCCATTTGTGCAACAGGCCCTGTGCTAGGACCCAAGCTATAGAAGAGTCTGTTCTTAGGGAGCTAATATTCTAATGAAGATGCCCAACAGGTGGTTAGACAAAGCACAGCGCATGTGAGACCAGCATTTCAGGGAGTGTTGAGTTGCATTCCCTTTCCAAATTACGGTGAAAATCAACTTCACCCATAAAGTGAACTTCACCATGGAGGAACTCTGACAGTAAATAAATTAACAGCTGGAGAGTGACTGTAACAGGCACAGGCCTTCTTTAGGACCTGTCGAAAATATTCTAGAATTAGATAGTGGTGATGGTTGTACAACCTTTGAATATACTTAAAAAAAATACTGAATCATACAATATAAGGGAATTAACTTAGTTGTATAAGAAATGTTTCTCAAAGAAGAAAAAAGTTAAAAGTTATGTTTAATCAGATGGAAATGGTTAGCAAATTCAAAAGCACAATCCCAATCTGATTCCTAGATTCCTCTTACCTGTTCTCCTTTGAGCCCTGGAAATCCAGGCACGCCAGTGTCACCTTTTGGTCCTCTAGGACCCTGGAAGGAATTGTTGGAGGGTATTGTGTTGTTAAAATTAAATGCTTTCACCAATCTAAAAGAACAGAGCATGCCATTCTCCAGGTGGGTTAACCATGACATTTTCTCACCTGTAAGAGGCTCTCAGAGATTGTGGCCTGATAGAACAGAGGCAGCTCTGAGCCTTAGGAGGCCCGCAGACCCACAACTCTTTGAGCATTAACTGATGGTGCTGCCAAAGCACTGGTCCTGCTGTTATCTGGTCTTACTGCCTCGATTCCCCCACATCTCCCTAGGCTTTCCTGCACCGCACCTTCTCCAACACTCATCCTCCAACACTCTCTTCCTTCACTGGCTCCTACAAGAGGGGATCCAACATCCTATCTGACACCTGAATCCACCCCAGCACTTCATCTTCCACACCACTGGTGTGACTCCCTTCCCTTGGTCCCTCATCTCCCGCTTCCTTATCTGAACTAATGTTCATGCCACCCTCTGCCAAGCCAAACTCCACACCCAGCCAGATGCATCCTCATCTCAACTCCAAGAAGCACTAAATGTCTTTGACAATGTCTCATGCGGCCATGACATCCACACCCAAAGGACATTTAAACACTTTACTGATATTTAACTTTTCACAAGCCCTGTCTCATCTGGGTGAAAGGGTGAGCTATCCATGATGCTGGTGGCTTTCACATGAAATTCTCTCCTTCCCTTTCTCTCAAATCAACTCTTGAATGAATCCCCAATACATAAAATATGTCAAATGGAGCTTTTCTTGTTGCTGTTGTTTTGTTTTTTGGTACTGGGGATAGAACTCAGGACCTTGTACTTGTGAGGCAGGCACCAGAACCACTGAGCTAAATCCCCAGCCCCAAAGGAGCTTTTCTTAAAGAAGCTCAGTGGCCTACATCCTGACTACTTGGCCCCCTCCTTCCTCCCTGCAGTGGTTTGGAGGCTCTGCTGAGTTTGGCCTCTTTTTGAGCACAGAAATTCTCAGAGAAAAAGTGCGCTGGAACATGCCCTGGGCCACACTAGGGCTGGAGTTCAGAGGTCAGGCTTCTTCTCCTCCTAACCAAGAGGTTGTCTCATGGCTACCACTCTCCTGCTTTTTTGTTTTTTGGCAGTGCTGGGGATTTAACACAGGGCCGTCTGCATGTTAGACAAACAGTCTACCACCGAACCATATTCCCAGCTGTTCTGTTTTTTCTGTACAGCTAATATGTATTTTTGGTGTTTTCATAGTTTATGTGCCTTTAGAAAATATAAAAAGTTCAGGAAAGTATAACAAAATAGAAAGAGATCATCCATAGATCCACTATCAAGAAACAATTTTCATTACAATTTTGATAAATTTCCTTCATTTGTCCTAGAAGTAGTGCATGCCACTTGTTGGCATGAGGCCTTTCAGACCTGCAACATCTTAGAGAAATTGTGCAGGCTCCACCCTGGGGCCAGGCCTTTGGCTTCAGCACAAAATCAAAGATTTCGACAAAAATAATCACTTTCTACACTGATACACATTTTCACCTTGCATAGGGCAAGTCCTGTAACTGTGCACACACAGACTATTAATTATTAGATTACTATTCTATGGCTCCTTTCCTTGCCCTGCTTTCCAGGGTCACCAACCTATTTCTTTAGGCACTATTTAGACTTCACCAACTTGAAATGTTTGACTCATCTATTGTCATTCATAGCAGCCAACTGCTGGCTCAGACTTTGGTCCTGGAATAAAGAAACACAAGTAACATCTAACCCTCCACAAGCTGCTCATGGAGTGGTAGAGGAAAAACAAATACACACAATGGCACAAATAACTGTTATTTAAGGTGGGCCCGAATCACCAAGAGTGGTGAGAATAATGCCTTACGTGTCTCAAAGAACAGGACATGCGGAGGTGGGAGCAAGGAGAAAACAATGAACAAAATGGAGCGAAAGCTCATTCAGGCAGTGATGGAGAAGAGCATGAACACAGCCTTGGGGCACAGGTGGAGGACAGCTACTGTGGTACTTACTGGGAATCCAGGCAGCCCAGGCAAACCATCAGGCCCCTGTGACACACCAAAGACAGAATTTCCAGAGTCAGGTGGGAATTGTGCCCCACAGAGCCACTCCCTCCCAGCCTGTCTGCACCCAGTGAGCTCAGTGTCCTATTTTGTGGAGGATGCTGGGGCCCAGGAGAGAGGAGACCATGTGCCCAGTCATGCAGCTAGTTAGTACCAGAGGCATGTGCTATACTGGGACCACTCAGACTAGCCATTTTCAAGGATCTGGGACATTAAGAATTTGTGCTTCATTATACTGAGGACCAGGGTCTCTTTCTGCCAACCTCAGGTACTTGCTGCTACTGAAGGTATAGGAGTTTGGCAGAAGAAAGAAAGAAAAAAGGGGAGAAGAAAGGAAGGGAGGCGGGGGGGTGGTATGTAGAGGAGGAAGAAACAAAGAAGGAAAAGAAAAGAAAGATGGGTAGATAAGATGGGACTGCTACCCAGTACATTAGAGCTTGATCCAGTGTAGGGATGAAGGGGTCCTGGATTCACCCAAAGCCAGGTCAATGGTTGGGAAGAGAGCAGGAAAGAAAGGAAGAAGAGACATGGTAACGCAGGCAGACAGGGCCAGGGACTAGCGGATCAGAGATGCCTACTCTTCAATTTTAAGCTGTATGTGTCTTGCTTTAGCATCAAACCACCTATCACCTAAAACCTCCAATAGTTAGGGATAAAAAGACCCTCTGTGAATGGGTTCCTGACTATTAGCTGTTTGCAATAGGGTTGATTACTGGGGTTTGGGGGATGCTATTTTTATTTTATTTATTAATTTTTTCCTTCACACTGAACTACTTCCCCATCTTTTTTTTTTTTTTTTTTTTTTTTAAACAGGTTTT